GAATTCCAACTCGGAAATGGTTTAAGATGAAAGCTATTTCCAACTTAATGACTTTAGAATGGAATACACACTCATCCTACATCCATTAGGAAAGAAATTACAGACTCTGAAAACCTCACATCTATTGTATAACTATTTAATAGACGTTTTATCCAGTGGTAATAAGGAAATGAGACTACGCTATTCACAAGGGCTACATCTGAAATTTCACTTTAGACTAGCCGATGCCAAATTTTTAAGCTGAAAAAAAAACTGCCAGCTTCCCAAAACACAGCTAGTTAGCATAAATTCAAGCACAGCACTGTAGGGTTCTGGCAACACGCCGGTTTCAAACTATTAAAACCTCTGAGCAAGGTGACTGTCTTTCTATATAAAACTCACTTGCTCATAAGAGACACATATATCCCAGAACTTGATTTGACTAAGTATATTTATTTCCAAGGTATGAACAAAAAGTCACACTTTAAAAATAAATTCTCAAACTATGAGGTGTATGTATTTAAAAAAAACCAAATGCTCAAGAGAGCCAACGACCCCAAACCCCAAACATAACAATGTCACCAAATCTAAAGATGAACTCTTACTGAATGTACCGCTAAGAAAATGCTGCCAATTAAAGTGTAACAGTCAACAATCGTAAGACATCCCAATTTCAGAGACATTAAAATGTAAAAACAATGTGCACCTTAGAATTGAAGAAATACAGTGTCATTCCCCCTGGTCTTCTAAATCAAATTTCAGAAAACGGTTTTTGTGAAAGCTATGTGACTCTCTTCAAACGAACCCAGTACCAGAAGGCAAGAGCCCTGAGATCTAGCACTAGAGTTTGGTAATTAAATAGAGTATGACCTTGGGAAACTTTGAATTTCCTCCTTGAGCTATTAAGAGTGTTCATATGTAAAGACAAAAAAAGAGTTTCTGGAAAACACTCCTAGCCTTGCACTCACCAGACACTCTATTAATTTTCTCTCTTTCCCTCCATTCGTCTAGAAGTAGAACTGCTAGATACTTGATCTTCCTAATATTTTCTGGATACCCTAAAACACACATGGAATGGGCTAAAATGTACGGTATTGTGGGAGCTGGGTCAATAATGGTTCATGTCACCAGTGGTATGAGGACTTCATGACTAGGAAACAGGCGTCAAACCCGCGCTGTATCAGGAGCACAAGCTTGCGCAGCTCACGGCTGCCGCCTGTGGTCCAACACTGAGAAGTCTGACAAAATGCCTGGACGTATACACTTTCCTGAGCCCTCTGCATCGCTTGTAGGTTCAACAGGTATCCTAAATCAGAAAACGACATTTAATCTCCCAGCATCACCCAGGGTTACAAACGTGAGTTCTAAAGGTGAAGTGAAGAAACAGTTCGGATATAGCTCTTTCAAAGAACATCAGCTCCCTACCCGTTAAAAGCATACTTAGTAACGCCAAACATGGGTTTGAATTCGACTAATACACGAGATAAACATGAACGGAGAAAGCCCCAGGAAAAATATAAGGCTTTGGCAAAGTCATCAGCTTGTAAGCAAGAGGCATCATCTTCCAGGGGATTATTCGCATGTTTGCTAAGAAAGATAAATTAAGAAATATCTAGTGGATGTGAGTGCTTCTGGCACCAACACCACACATGTTACTACACCTTCTTTGAAAAGAAGGGCAAGATAATACAATCATTATTTTTTTTAAAAAAGGACAGGTATCAATTATCTCGTAAGGCTCAGAGCAGCCCTGCCACATACAGGTAAAACGTTCCTTTTTGAGTAATGACCCGTTTGTGTTGTCTGGGTTGATTTTCAGTCCTCTGCTTTCCTTTGTGTTTATTCCAAACTTAGCTACACCTTGAGAGGCGCAGGTGTAACAAACCGAACAAGCAAGAAAAGGGCCGTGTGTGCAGGCTGGTGGGCTGGGAGGGGGCGAGAGAGGGCTGTGTTCCTTTCCAACTGGGGCACGGTCTGCCTCCCCCGGCATGCTCAGAACGCACTTAAGGAAGTTATATCGGGGGCCAGGGGTGTACACAGGTTCTTAATCCAGCAGGAGCACCTAAGATCTGAAAAACTAAGAAAGATGTTATCCCTTTACTATTCAATTCTAACCTGAGGGGTTACTTGCTTTTTCACATCAGTCTAAGTGGGTAGAAAGCATACCAACTAAATTTGAGGTATCTCAGGGCGCAGTCAACTTAGTGTGCCGCGTATGAACAACAGGGGCCGCAGATCCATAGCAGGTGCTTTAGGCCAAATTCATATGGGAAATAATACCTGAAGGGCCAATCTATATACACACAGAGAGAGATAGTACACAAAAAGTAAAAGTGTTATCCCTCATTTATCAAATGTTACTGACACATCAAAGGGCTGTAAGCTTGGGGCTTTATTTTCTAGAAGGAGTGATGAGTCTGCACTAAGATATTATCGCACTCTTATCTAAAGTCATGCATTTGAGTGGCAATCAGCACAAATCTACACACAAAGTCTATGACTGATGCCTCAGAGACTGTTTATGAATCCCAC